ACGTTGACCCAAAGGTCAAAGATCGACCAGTTTGTTGGGGAACATAGAGTTACATTTGATGCTAAAGTTCACTATTGCATCCTCATCATCTGTTGAGCAGTGGACAAAGTGGCTTTTATCCAGATCTGAGGTTTAAAAGTTTCGCAAAGCACTTCATGACAAAAAGGCACGGTACACTCAGACACTTAACAGATCTGGAGGATTTAAAACATGTTGGAACAGCAGCTTGCAGTAATGAGAGGAGCTAATCAGAACATGTTCCAGCTTCTGCTCTATTTTCTAATTTATAGTGGAACATTTTGTACCACAGTACCATTTTACCTGTCCAAAATGTCCCTATACCAATATTAATTTTAACTTTCAGTAAGCTCTGTTCTCAGGTGTCTTTGCGTTCAATATTTGTTTGCATATATAAAAAGCGATTGGCTGCACATTTTATTTTGAATGAAGGAGAACTAAATGTATGATTAAATGATAACACAGTGAGTAAAAGATACTGGAATACTGACAGATAGGAATAGATGAAAAATATGTATTATTGAATAAATATATCACATTAGAAATCATGGAACTCGATCTACCAATCTCCGCCTCGTTTTGAATAATGTGTCTTAAGAGAAGTGAGGCTTCGCAGGTGTATTCACAGACACCTCCAGGGGCTGTGGTTCTCTGTTGTTTGCTATGAAACTGGAGCCCTCTCTCCCAGTAGACCCAGTGAAACCAACAACACCAGCTTTGTCTCCAAGCTGCTAGAGCCTCCCCCATCTCTCACTCTCTTCCTCCTCCCTTCCTTCACCCTTCTCTGCCATGAAGTGTTCTGTTAGCGTTCTGTCCAGACTGCAACATGTTCGGTTTGTGTGCATCTCCAGACTGGACCTTTGTTTAGTAATTGTTTTAAAGATAAGGAGATCAATGGAAGAGTGAGAGGGGTTTGTTACAGAGGGGAGAAGACGCAAAAGAGGGAAAAAAGAAAAGGAGGGAGTAAAGAAGCACAACTTCTCAGTCCTTTCATTTGCCTCAACCACACCCCCTGTTAGGATTTATCAGCATTTTCAAAACTACAGCAAGACCAAGAAAGGTTTTTATAAACCCCAACCATGTGTCCGAGAACATGAGAAGATGTTTCATTTAGAAGTCAATTGCACAAATTAAAGTATATTTCTTTCCCATATCCAGGACAATCCTCATCTTATATCTTGCTTTTGGAGCAAACAGAGTTATCTGACAACGTTATCATTTAGATATGACAATAGGAGAGTATACGGTGTGGAAAGAAGTCATCTGAAATGTCAACACCTTAGGATAGCATTTTTTAAATCAGCAATGGAGACTTTTCAATAATTATTTTGCCATATTTGACCCATTTTAAAAGACAGTTGATTAAAGGTTTCAGATATAGTTTGAATATTTTCAGAGGGACAGTTTTTTGTAACGTTAAATCACATAAACAGTAGAAACCCAAAAATTTGAAGCTAAAAATGTACATACTATTTCCCCATTTAGTAAGAGTAGCTATACCATGTATGTTGCATTCAAAATGATGATGAAGTAGAAGCATCAAAATACACTTAAAGTGGCAACATTTGTGATACTGTTTATAATGTATATACTCTGTAGATTAACTAATAATATTACATCACAATTTGTAAGTATATTTATATTGTGTATTACTGCAAATCTGCAGAGCAACTATCAAATACATATTTAGTTTTAAAACAGTGCAATATTTGCCTCAAAAAGGGTAGTTGAGGAGTATAAAGTCGCATAAAATGGAAATGCTCCAACTGACATAGCCCTAATGATGATAATATACAAAAAGCAAACATAAATAAAATGATAATATTGACCACAAACATAATTATTATTATTAAAATATGCACGGTTTTTGGTCGATTCTGGCTCGATCTTAGACCTATATTGAAAATAAAACAAATAAAAAGGGATAACCGTTTTTGGGGTAAGATTAATCTATCTTCCTCTTTAACTATTATTTTTGAATATTTTAACTTACCCAGAAGACGAAATTAAAGATGAAGAGAGCGTGCTTGAGGCAAAGCTCCCAGCTGCTTAGAGCCGACATCTTGATGTTGGTTTTAACGCTGTTTGTTTGGATTAAAACGGTTAAATATCTGAAAATCTATCAGCGGTTGTCCGTTCTTATCTGTTGCGTTCGGCTCGGCTCGGTCACTTCCGGCAGTTGTCGGCTGTGTGATGTGTTGAGAGGAAAGCGAGAAGATCAACTGCTGAACACCCACAGATAAAGCCTGTCTTTCTGTTTATTGTTTGTCTTTCTTTCTGGCTCACACCGGAAGAAAAACAGGAAGACACTATAAATAAAGCTATATTCTGAATGTAGGTATGCTAAAAAGTTAAAAACCCTATAAACACATGGTGTCAAATTCCACTCAATTGCTGTACTCAACTAGGCAAAAATAATACTTAACCTAGTAGTATTTCATTTCATGTTACTTTATACTTCTCCATACAGGCACTCTAATACAACCACTCTCATATTGTTTTGCAGATAAAGATTCTATATAAACTATTTTAATACAACAATTATTTAGCATTTAAAATATATCTGTTCATTTGTTGACAGATTGTTTAATTCATTAAGATAGATATGTGTGACTGAAAAATGCATGTTATTTTTTTATGCTTGGTAAAGTCAGTTTGGCTGCCTGTGAGGGGAATCATATTTGAAAATGCACATGTGATTATTTTAATTCTCTTTGTGTTTGATCATGATGAATCTGTGTGATCTTTAGCTGAATTAACCTTGGCCTGATTGCCTTAACTAAGGCATTGTTGCCTGTAGCCCTTTGTCTTGAGAACACAGGCATGCAAAGTAGCGTAAATTAACAAATATAAAACACTAATAACTCAACAAAAAATAATAATAGTATAAAACAGTGAATATTAGATCACTTAAAAATAGTTCCCATACTGTCAGTGGTTTCTGTAGACGGCAACAACATTCATGAATTTGGCAGTGAGAAAATAGTCACATGTTCAGAGTTTGAACTTCAAACCTCATTGCCAGCTTTCGAAATGCCATCAAGGTCAACACCAACGATAACCAGTGTGTGTGTGTGTGTGTGTGTGTGTGTGTGTGTGTGTGTGTGTGTGTGTGTGTGTGTGTGTGTGTGTGTGTGTGTGTCTGGCTATACTTTCTCTCTCATTCTCTGCTGGAAATGTGACTGTTTTTCTGTTAGTGCAGAACAAAGACGACAGTGTGAGCAGTCAGCCCACAACTTTTGTTTGCAGCTGCGCAGAAACACACAATGATGATGATAAAGATATGGATAAATATGATGAGGGTGATGAAGGTGTTAGCAACCAGAGTGACCAGCTGACCAGAACCACAGCAGAAGGAGTAAAATAACTCCAAACACAGAACTATTGAAATAACGTTTATTGACATCCGTTGCACTTGTCTATGGCTCTGATGTGCCTTTTAAGTAGTGCAGTATATCAATGATTAACTCTTATTCCACATGCACACATTTTAACCTCAGAGTATGAAAATAAGCTGGTTGCACCACATTCATGATGTCATGTCCACATCTCCATGATCACATTATAGCTACATACTTAGTATATAGTTACATACTCCTATCATGCCTATTTAATGTTTTATTGTATTATATTCATCATATTTTAATATTACGGGTGCTATCACTACAATTCTGCATGCAATCCTGCATTGTCTGACAGTAAATCTCTGAAAAAGAGGCATTTGAGGCAATTTAAAAAAAGGTCAGACTTTTTATGTGAGTGCAATTGACTATATGTGTTGGTTCTGATGGGGATTTTTGAAATACATTTTTCAGTTTCATCCTTAATAAACCTGCAAAAGTTTGTGTGTCTACAATGTCTCAGTCTTCTACTGAGAGGCATAAAGACTGAGTGTGTTCCTCTGTGAAACAACACTGCCTTCATCTCCTTCATGGTGTGTGTGTGTGTGTGTGTGTGTGTGTGTGTGTGTGTGTGTGTGTGTGTGTGTGTGTGTGTGTGTGTGTGTGTGTGTGTGTGTGTGTGTGTGTGTGTGTGTGTTTGTTTCAGTTTGCAGAACAACTCGGCGTTCATCATTGCACCCCTTTACAAAGCCTTCCTTCAGAGCTGCAGCCGCCTGTGTGTGTGTGTGTGTGTATGTATGTATGTGTGTGTGAGTTGTGTGACAGAAAGAGGATAAAATGAAACAGAGAAGGAGAATGAAGAATTAATCGTCACATTTTCAAAACAAATCCAGGTTTCGATCAACCCAAAGTGTCTTATGATAAACCACAAAAGTTCCAGGGTTATAAAAACACCATGCACACACTTAGACAAAGGATATGTCTAATACATAAAAAACCCTCTGAAGTCAATATAAATCTTCATCTGATGTCAAAGAAGGCATTTAAGGAATGACGAATCTGCTGTCCTATAGTGGTTACATTCAGAAGCTAAAATAACATCAAACCTTTCACTAGTGATGGACAGACAAAGCTTTATGAAGATTTTGATCAAACAGTGACATCTAGCGGTTTGAAGTGAGTATTGAATTGTTTAATTTTGCTCAAAAGCACTTACATTCACTGAATTTCTGAGAAAATGTGTGAAATTATGTTAACTACAACATAAAAGAACAGTGTTAATACCCATAATTCTTTAAGGATAGAATATATTATTAATTGTGTTTCAATGCAGAAATAGCAAGGAGATAACCACATTGGTTCAAATGTACATTAAAGATGAGATGCATCATTAATGCCATAATAAACAAGATAAAAAAATAAAACAATACAGATATTTATATTTTTACACTTAGCATGTAGACCTAAAATAAATAAATCCCCATCCACAGCTCCATGTATTCTGGTGTTAAGTGGCTACAGAACTTTTAACAACAACAATCCTTTATGTCCCGGCCAATCAGCAGGGTTGCTCCTCACGGCGCGGACCAATCAGAGAGCAGTGTGTGCTGATGGAGCGAGACAGCGGCGGTTTACCTGTCAGTCAGTGTCGTTACCGGGACGAGCACCGCCACCTTCCCGGTAGATTGTATCGGCGTCAAATCCAAAGTTAAACGATGGAAAGCAACGCCGGACCCCCTGCTTCGCCTCAAAGTGGAGGTTAACGTCACAAAGTTGTCACCAAATGCTTCCCGGTACCGTCATGGCTCGGACCGGCTCCGGTGCCCTCCTCTGGCGGCGGAACATGAAGCTGGACACCTTCCTGAAGCGGAACACGGAGCGGGCGGTGTACGAGCGGATCCGAGCCTACGAACCGTGCGTGGTGATATCAGAAACCGTTAAAAAGGTGTATATGCATGTGGTATTGAGCGACGAGCGCGTGTATCTTACAGAGTACCCGCCACGTACGCTCACCGAAGCCTTTAACTTCAGGCGCGTGCGTCACATCGAGCTGGTGAGTTTAAAAATCATATTAAACTTCTTCTATTTTCAGTGAAAACTACAGCTACAGCACAGTAGTGAGTGTAATCATTACATTACATTGCATTTAGCTGACGCTTTTATCCAAAGCGACTTACAATAAGTGCGTTCGACCAACACAATAATAAAATAGTAATCGCCTCCAATATGTTTCATTTTGATTCAAGACGGAATTGTTTGATATTTAAGATAGGCCTATCAAACATAGTGAAATGTCCAGAGCTCAATCTATCATCTTTGAAATATTGTTTGACTTCTTAACATTGACAACTAGAGATCCACTTGCTTTTCATTTGTAATTTTCTTTAACCACATCTCTTGGCCATTATAGGTGTTGCAGTTGTCATGGAGATAGCAAGTGGACTTTCTGTTGAGAATTGGCCTTCAAAAATGTACTTAATAAGTTATCCAAATAGTTATGATTTTCGTGCATCAACTAAGCAATCATTTATCCACAGCTATTTGTTAGTCGATAAATATATTGTACAAGCTAATACGACAGTTTCAGCTCCCAGTAAATAGTTGAACTAAACATTTTAAAATGTTGTAATTGGCATTTTGTTGAAGAGTAATCCAGATTTTCTTTTATTTAGATCAAGCAATAATACAAATAATGATTAGATGCAACTTCAACTGTGATTGTAGCTTCCAGCTTTCAAATTCAGCATATCAACTTTAAACTTGTTGGCTTTATTAGATGGTTAACTGAATATTTTGAGATTTTTCTACTGGTTATCGAGAAAATAAAGCAGTAATTAAACTAATGAGTTGCAGCTCTTTCTGCGATTTAAAGCAAAAATAAAGACCATCATCATTACCTCCTCTGTGGTAGATCCTGCTTCTAGTATTTCCAGAATCACATTTACCATCTTGACACATACAGACAAGCTGAAAACAATACCGCTGCGTAGTGGCTGGTTATTACCTGAACACATTAACTAATAGCCTACTGTAGTTAAAGTCTTAAGGTTACAGATGTTTTGATTTACAGGTTTCACCATTATTTAGTTGAGTCCTTATAGGTTAGTAATCCTGCCTCGATTCTAAATGTCCCCTGTGCTGTTTCAAATCAAATATAAAGCCCTGTGCAGCAGGATTCTTTTATCAGCTTGGAGTCATTTTATTAAATAACTGCAACTATTGATATATATATATTATATGATTCAATACATGTTTAGTGCTGCAACTAATGATTATTTTCATTTCATTGAAAATCTCTTTCTTTTGATCTTTTTATGTTTTAATTGTCTTGGTTAACCAATGCAAGGTTTTGTGCACCACCTGAGACCCCAAGGCTCAGGGTCTTAAAAAACCTGTTTTGTCGAATACAATTTAAAAACAGACATCATTTGAAAATGTAAAACAAATTAGTCAAGATCAAACAATCAACCTGATCAATGAAACAGCAAATCAGGTTAGCTACAATCCTCTGGGACTGCAACTATACAGTACATACATCCATGTATGTATTTGTTAATGGAAGACAATGGAAGACATTCAAATAAAAAGTCAAGAACCAAATAATTTGTTCTTTGTAAATTATTAAAACTTGTTCAAAGTTGAAAGGATTAATTTATAACAAATATCCTGCAGTACTTGCAACACAGATAGTTGATCTGAAGAAGTCTGTTAATAGTTGACAAGAGCTTCTTTCTAGTATCCCATATGTTTTTTATAGGGTAACAATATACATATGTTAAGGTGTTTTAGCCTTAAAACACCTTTAATTCGTCATGATAATATGAGGTTCTCAATAATTAAACATATCAAAATGTGGATAAAGAACAATTAAAACCCCTGAAAGATCAAGAACAAGGTTTTTTTTGTTTATCTCTGTTACAAATAAAAAACTTGAATGGCCGAGTCTAGAGTTTTACAAGAGGGTCAAAGTAGATTCAAGCTTAATACTGTGTTATATGTAACCCCACATAACACGAGCTGTCCAAAATAGAAGCTGCGTCTGTGTTTAGAGAGTAAGCCTCTCATTAACAACCTTATGTCAAGTAAGTCAGGTCGAAGAGTTAAATTCTTCCTCGGTTTAATCCTGTCTGCATCACACTGTCAGCCTCTGGTCTGTGTTGAATTTATTTCACCTCACTATGACTGTAATAAAGAAGATAATAGATGATTCAAAATACAGTAACATTAACTCTTTCTAAATAAATAAAAGAAAACATGTAAAAAAGTCTTTATAAATATTTGTGAAAATCTTAATAAACACAAGGATACAAATACATATGTAATATAAATTAATTAATAAATACAATTGTAAATAAATATTCAAAATAATTAAATGTAGACATGTATTCTTATAGTAATTCAAAATTATTAAAATGTAAATTACTTTTGATAGGTGTGACTTTTGTAAAGTATCTTTTTGTATTTTGAACATACATTACATGTATTATTATCATTATTATTATAGTTATACTATTATATTTAGATACATTTGACTTAACTATCTTATAATATATTTTACTAAGTACATAAGCACTAAAATGTATTCTTCCTATACTAGCCTGTTCTATATCAATTAATGCCCAAAAAAGTATAGAATATAAAACTGGGCTGAAAAGATGGCGTACATCGAACATCTGGAACACAGATCCGTATTTCCATTTTCTCTCTGCAGGTCAACGACCTCCCAGACTTCCTCCACGGGAAGGACCGGGAGCGCTGCCAGCACATCCTTATCACCTACATCACGGACAAGCCTGCAGCGAGGGGCCGTGATTGGCTGAGGAGAGACAGGAGGGCGGGACTTCGTCTTGCTGCCCCTGCGTCCCGCAGACCCAGCGACTGTCTTACAATACCACACACCTTAGGAGGTAAAGAACCTCTTCAAATGCACGAATAATCGATTATCATACTCTAACAAATCATTACAAATACCATGCAGTGTGTAAAAGGACAGTGAAACATTTTGGCTTTGCACACCAGCACATTGGGTTAACACATTTGGCTCGTAAGGACAAGGTTTCAGCTTAGAGGCCACATCTTTAATGGTGCTTAGACTCAGGAAGTAGAACAGGTCAGACTCTAATTGCAGTGTTGATAGTACAGTCTCTGGCTCTTCCTGTCTTCCATATTTGAAGTTCCCTCAAGGACTCAAAATGTCCCTCCCATAGCCAATACCTTGCATTTTATGTGTAGGATGAAATCTCAAGTGTCACATTATTTTCTTTTAATCATATGCTATTTGTTTTTGTTCTGGTTTTGTTAATGACTGTAAATATATTTCATTTATTCACTCACCTGCTTCAGAGTGTGAGTGGCTAAAATATGGGTAACAATAGCAGTGAAGCTCATGTGTTGTATTGTTTGTCTTTCTTATTTGATACTTTAAAGTATCGTTTTAACTCTCCTGTGTCTTTTGTTTCCCTGACAGGTTATCCTGCTCAGAGGTGAGCTTCACACCAACACACACACTCTCTGGTTTGTCAGGTGATATCCATGAATGGAAACTGAGACTGGCTGTGGTTTCTTTTTATTTGTATCCGTCGAAACTGGTTCTTAAAGAAGCATAATATCCTTTTTAAATCAAATACATTCTCGCTAGCCTGAACTGTACTCTAAACTAAAACTTGTTTCTATCAACCACTATTTTTTCCCCAACTTAAAGGATTATTAACACTTGTTTAGCATCCCACATGGTGTATATTTATGTGTTTTATTTAGCATTTCCCTTCTGTCTATGCAAAGTGTGCCGGAAGGATTCTGTATGGGAGTCACGGAAACAGACAAACTCTTCAAGCTATAAAATCTTTACAGGTGTTTTTGTCAGCTGGACTACAAGAGAGAAGGAGGGTTAGACTTTAAGAGCTCAAATACCTGGATTTATATATATGGTAAAAGGCTGGTGTTTGCACTGAAATGCCAACACATTGCACAAAAAGTCAAATCTCATCTTTGCGGTTTCGGTTGGGAAACATCTAAATAATGCGTAAAGTGAAAGCTGGCTCTGTTGTGAACCTCCTCAGAGTCTCAGGTAGCTCATTTCTTATTTAATAAGAGGCATGTTCCACTTCAGTTTACCTGCTGCTCATTGTCATTGTTCACTGAGGGATTTAAAGAAGTTCATCCACGGCCACTTCTTTTTACAATATGCTTAAAGGTAAAGGAACAACATACAATACATTTTACATTAAAGGTGGGGTAGGTAAGTTTGAGAAACCGGCTCGAGATACACTTTTTGTTATATTCCATGGAATGCTCTTAACATCCCGATAGCAATGAATATCTTAATTGCTTTGACAAAAAATCCATTAAAAAATGTCATCTGTGGAAGCCGTAGTACTGTAAAAAGTACAACCAATCCGTTTAGCCGGGCCGGCTAAACGGATTGGATTGCCGCCCTGTCTGTCAGCCTTCCATCTCGTGCACGCACAAATGTATCTCGTGCTCTCATTGGGCGTGCCGTCATTGGGCGTGCATTGCAGCAGTACTTCAATGACTCGCCAGCAACAGGCGGCCACTTTCACCAGTCTGCTGACGTCATGTGCGCGTTCATGTGTGTTGGAGGAGGTGCTCTGTAAGGAAGTCTGAAGGAAGGGGCGGATTATTTTCGGCTGTGTACTTTCAAATTTTAGTGCACTCGAGCCGGTTTCTGAAACTTACCTACCCCACCTTTAAGGTCTGAGACCAACAATGGTTTCATTAGCGTTACATTTGGAGATAATTTCTTTTCAAATATAGAAATTAGTAAAAATCTGTATTACAAGTTCATAGACTGAGCTCTGGTCTTCAAACTCATTTTTCCAACCAAAGATATGTGCTCTCCAATGTGATCAAGAAAACTGAAAAATGTCCCATTTAGAAAACACATCTTGCAAATGTATGGCATTTAAACATGTGTATCATTTACAGTACCTTCATCACATTTGTACCTTTTTATATACATAACATTTTCCTGGGTAATTTCCGTCCTTTTCATTAATTCCTCTGTGTTTTGTGTTTGTGCGTCAGTCAGGTAACAGGAAGTGATTTACGCTTATTGAACACTGACTTGTTGCCTGGTTACAACAAATGACGCACTGATTTTTCGACGGTGTGTGTGATGTTAACTCAGGAAAGTGCAAATGCTGCTGTCTAATGCTCATCTGTCTCTCTGCCTGAGTGTAGTTCACCCCTGGGAGATCATTTAACACACACACACACACACACACACACACACACACACACACACACACACACACACACACACACACACACACACCCACCCAAGGAAGTGATGATGGATCTTTAGGGACATGAAAGCAGCTTACAGCCTTTGAAATCCTTACCTTCAAATGACTGAGCAGGCTGCTGGTGGGATGGTGGTGGAAATAATCCCATGTTTACTACTTGCAAATGAAATTGTGTTCATCAGACCACTTGGTGTAAACTGCAGAGACAAGATACAAATGAGAACCATTGAAGATTATAAACTCAGGATTAAGGACTATCTGACCGCTTATTGCACACATTAATATGTCATTGTTTTATGTAAAATGCTGTTTTATTACCGTGGTTAGTTTCTTTTAAGGGCAATTGGTTGTTTGTAACTTCTTGTTGTTTAGCTTGATGCCTGTTGCTTTATGCACATTGTGAAATACATTTTGAATCTCAATGGGAAACACTCGTTGTTAATAAAGGTTAAAAAAATGATTGCAGAGGTTAAAAAGTTCTGTGCCGGGTCAGTTCAGGACCTGTACAAACTAGTAAATGCACATCAAAACATTATTATGACAGTGCCTTACTGTATGTTCTGGGAGGAAATGATTTGTATTATCTGTAGGCAGTAGAAGGAAGACAGGAAATGAGAGTGATGCAACAAAGATCCCTTAAAATTAAGCCATTGGAGCTCACTGTACTGTATCACCTTTTCTCAATATAGCACTGTATCCTTGCAGTGCTTCTCAAAGTGTGGTCCGCGGACCACTGGTGGTCCGTGAGCGCCCCCTAGTGGTCCGTGGGTATATTGGTAACATTTCACATTTGAAATAAATAAATTTATTTAAGTTTTTCGCACTCTCGCGGGAATATCTCCGCAATGGAGCGAGCTTAAGTTTCACTTTCGATTGCATGATATAGCCCAGATAAACACCTTCATCACACATGTTGCCACTTGTTTGTACCATTTTCAGGCGATTTGTAAAAAACGATGTGTTTTTGGATATTTGTGGCGTTAATTGGTCCGCGAGTGTTTTTTTATTGGTTAAGTGGTCCTTGGTATGAAAATGTTTGAGAAACACTGCTTTAGAGCTAGTATAGTCAATATTAGTATTGGTAAAACTCATGCTTTTCTATCCACGTTAAGTTAAAGTTAACCTCCTCCATCTCTTTCCTCTCCATCAGGAGCCCCAGTGAAAGTGCGACAGAGCATCACATGTTACCGCCGCCGCGTTCTGCCTCCTGTCCAAACCCCGACACTTTGGGCCTCCTGAGGGTCCCTCACCCCCCCTCCACAGCCTCCTCCCTCTACTCCCCCACCTCCAATCATAGACTGTTCCTCTCCGATACAGGCCAGGTACCCCCTTCAAAAACCTTTTTCTGCATTTGGATTCAATCATTTAAGAATACAGAACATGACGTGTGTGTTGTGTTCAGGTACCGAGGAGGCTCATTACAGTTTTGTCTCGCTTGTTGGGAAGAGACTGTGTGAACAGTGGAGAGGAGAGGGAGGCCGAGCTGCATCTGTACGCAGTGTCACCTACGTCCAGACTCTACCTCCACCTGCAGAGCTCATGGAACAGCTTCATTATTGTGAGGGATCGTTATTAAAGTCTCTCACCCATTTAGCATTGCACTCCCAATAAATTAACAGACTTAAGACGGAATGTACAAAAAAAAAATCAAAGAATCACATTTTTTTTTACACTCATTCTACTTCCTTATCAAAACTTGGTGCCTACATTACCCACAATGCTTTACATAGGTCCACTGAATCGTTTTTGATGTGTATTTCAGTGGAGGTCCACTTTAAGGCCTAACAAATTTGTTAACACCATGTTCACCTCAAAAGCTATCTGAGGAATGTTTCTGACATTATCGGATTATTTGCCATCCCTTTTGAAAAGCAATATATATGTACCTATATTTGTTTGTTTATGGTCCTTGTGTGTGTTCAGAGGTCCACTCTGTCATTAGACCCGCTCTACAGAAGGAGGTGCAGTGTCTCGTCTGACTCTTCTCCTGGAAAAGCACTTCCTGGCATCAGGTAACCACACACTTGATACACAATACGGGGCTCTAACAGGAAGAATCTTTAGTTTATCTCATAGACATGTGAAACAAATCTTCTGCTGGACATTTGATAATCATTGCACTGGTTATTTCACAGGTTTTCCTCTATTACATTAACTTAGAATGTACACAATTTCAAAGCGGATGAGATTGCCTGACTTTAAATAACATCACCTAGGATTTTGAGAAACTTGGATGAACATTTTCACTATTTTCTGACATTTTATAAACCTGTGTGTGTGCAGCTGGGAGCGGACTGCTCACCTGTTTGCTCAGCTGAGCTCGGAGCTGCTGCAGGAGGGGATCGGAGTGGAGAGTCTGTACCTGCTGCTGCAGGAGCTGAGCACCGCTGCGCACCGCAACATCGCTCTGCGCCGACTCTTCTGGAGGGTGAGGGCTCCAACAGTCACACTAACTAATAACAACGCAACATATTCTAGAATAATTGTGTCTTTACATTTTCTGGACCAAACTATTAATTGATTATTGATAAGGGAAATAAAATGGTTTCAGTATTGGGAATTCAATTTTTGGCTCCTCTGCTTACCTTCCACTAGCTCAACATATCTATTTGCAGTTTCAAGATAAAGAAATCCTAATAAATATGAAGTGCCCAGACATGTGGTCAAAGCTCTTTTCCTGTTGGAAGAAGTATTAATAACTATACTTGCTCTACAACATCTGTGGGTATTGTCCACAGTAGATGACCATTACATGTATGATCTGTATGTGTAATGTGTATTTGTAAAGCGCTTTGAGAGTCTTTGATAAAGCGCTATAATAAATACAAGGATTATTATTATTATTATTATTATTATTATAACATGTCCTCACAAAGACACACTTACATTCAGACAAATGTGAGTGTGTTCCACACCCAGAATAAACTTCAGTAGAGATTTGTCATGTTGTGTTTCAGTCCAGTGAGGTGTGCGTGTTCCTGGTTCAGACTCTGGAAGAATCTCTGCACGGCTGTCAGAGCCTCCATGGAGTCTACACGGCAGATCAATTACTGTAAGAGTGTGTGTGTGTGCAGGATTGTGTGTGATCTGAGGTTGTAAGCTGCTTTGATTTTACACAACACACTTATGGCTATTTTAGAAGGCAGAAGGCTTGGTATGTTTGTGTTCATACTCCTATATTTATCTCCCTGCTTCCTGTTTGTCAACCAAACGGAAACTAATTGTATTGACTGTATATATATCTTTTAAAAGGATTAAAACACAACAGCATACTTTTAAAACAGTCAGCAGTGAGGAGTTTTAGGAAAATAGTTTTAACATGCAAAAATATGTTCAGTGTCATCCTATAAGTTAAGTTCTGTGTTCATTTATTAAGTCAACCACGTGCACAAATCATTCGGGCTAAAGAGAAGATTTGTTGGTCCAGAGAGTAATTGTATATGTTATATGTATGTTGTATAAATGCTCTGAGTCTAACACTAACTCGATGTTTCTGCATAGACTAAGCACTCTGATCGTGCAGACGCTCGCCGTCATGTTCAGAGAGACGGAGGTCGAACCAGCCAGATTCAACCTGCTCTCTGCCAAAAAGTAAGCATCCCACCTGTGCTCTAAATATTTCAAATCTATATAAATATCTAAATACATTTTTATCCTGCTGTAAACTCTCTTTTTTCTCTCTCCCTGCAGAGGTGCCCTGGCCTCCAGAATGCTGCTTGCCTTGATTTGTGATGCAGAACTACAAACACAGAAGCAAAGATCTCTGGTAGATTGTGAGGTCAGCGGCTCTCTGCTCAAATATATATCATAAATATTATTTATGTAATCCGTTTTAATGTAACCCTTGTCCTTCTCTGTCAGCTTCAGGCCTTACTAGCGGAGTATCTGGACTCTGCCTGCTCTCTGCTCTTCGAGCTGCTGCTTTTAGGCCACGAGGTGAGTTTTAACTGCAGGTCGACATACATAAACGATGGTTGCTACCTTACCTCCACATACGAATCAAAGTTATTAGTATGTGATCCTGTTTTGAATTAAAACATTTGCAGGTCTATAACAATCAAACTATATATACTAAATATATTCTGTATTTGTTAAAGGTTGAACCTCTTGAGTCAGCCGGTGACTCTACACGTATCTGTAACTTTTCTGTGTTTTAGGCCAGCAGATGTTCCCTGACAGAGAACTTCCTGTCTGTTGGCTGGATCCTCCGAGTCCTGCAGCCTCATCCTCACCTGGTAAACTTCCTTACTGTAACTCAAATACTGCCAGTCCTTTTTTTACTGTCATTTACTGTGTTTTTTTCAATGACATACTGCTCGTTCTCTCCTACAAAAGCTAGGCTCTAACAACACTGTTATCAGATCAGTTTTCTCTCCTTATCTCTTTCTTATTAGCATGAAAAATGTACCGGTTGCAGCCTCAAAATGTAACCAGCATTGGTAATATCAGTGCAAAATAATTCTAATTCGATGAGATTAGTAAAATCTTTTTTATTTTGGTTCTTAAAACTTTGAAAGAGTGAGACATCTTCTCTTTAGTGGATAGTGTAAACTTTCATTCCTAATATGGCAATAACTTTTAATTAAGTCCACTTAATGTAAAACCCTGACTACACTGACTTGTATCTGTGTAGTTTTTCAACAGCATAGAGAAAAAACACTCAATATGTTTATTGTCTTTATTCTGTTGTTAATGTAAAGCACTTTGGGCTGCATGTCTTGCATGAAGAGTGCACAAATGAAATCAATAAAGTATATCATTACTATTGTTTGAGAGGTGTTTTCACATTCCTTTACTAAAGGGGAAGGTGTCCGTGCACTTTTCCAAAATTTAAGATGTAAACGTAACATGGGCAAAGTTAAATTCGGAATGTCACAAATTTGAAAGCTAACCATAAAAGCCAGACACATATAGAACTTCACTGCTACATGCTGATTATTTTGTGCACAACACACTCCTCATCTTTCTCCTCTCTGCAGATGTCCTTCGTCAGTCACCAGGCCCAGCAGGTGGTCGTGGTTCTGTCCGACTTGCAGGACTCCCCCCTCGCTCCCTCTCAATCGGTGCTGCTCTTCCAGCGCTGTCGCCTCCTGCTGGCCTGCCTGCAGTACAACAACATGCTCGCTCAGCATCTCAGGTCTCACTTCAGGGAGGAGTTCAGGTCTGTGCTCAACATTCAAGGAATTTGGGAATAATTAACCCATATCATTTCAGTAATTTATGTACAGTCACAAACTCAAGTGAAGTCTGTCAACATTGCACACGTTGTATCAGGTTAAAATAAGACCCTAATGATGCAAGTTTAATGATCTGTTTATGTCTTGCCTGCAGGTACTTTGTGAAGCTGTCCTGTGTTGAGGTGAAGCTGCCCCCTCTCTACCCGATCAGCCCCCCCACCCTGCGGCTGGTTGAGCAGATCCTCACTCTGCTCAAATGATTGCACAAACACACGAGTGCACTTACACCTGGAGACAGGCTGTGACAGCGTGTGCCTTTACCAAAGCGTGAGTGAGTTTAAACTCGTAACGCATGAAGCATGTCTGCTGCTGTTACAAGTGAAACTCAAGATCCCAGCAGAAAGAATATGACTTTTATTTGTTTTATTAATAAGTGTTCCTATGATGCTGTGAAGCAAAAATCTTCTCTGGAATTCATGAATGTAAGCATTGCTATAAGCTAAATGCTAAAATAGCGATGTTAAGCAGGTATAGTGTTTACAGATTTCACCATCTTACTTTAGCATAGTAGCGTGAAAATATGATATTTAGCAATGAAAACAAATGTTCCTGATGTTTGTTTAGATTCTGCCTGTGTTTATAATTTAACCTCTAGATGTCAAAACTAAATCTGCAAAGTGTTTAGGTGATATGCACTTTAAATAAAGTTAAAGATGAAACTTTGAAATCTGTTATAAATGACAGCTGAATGTGATAGAGATCACTCAATATTGTTTCAGTTGAGATCAAAATAAAAAGTATTACACATGCATAGATGTTAAGATGTTTGGACCATGGTTTGGACAGATGAGTCTCCGCTGTGTTTTTTGTTTTGGTGCTTAAAAAAATATTAAGGGGTAATATTCTTTGAAAAACAGTAGACCGACATTTTTTGGAAGGTTGATTTAATAATTTAACAAAATAAAGCTGATTTAAAATAGTATAATCTTTTTGTATTTAATATCATGTACAATTTTTAATAACATACATTTTCTGACACATTCACAACCTATATTCATTCACATTATGGCACATGTTAGAGGCACAATTTGATCAAAGGCACAACCTAATGTGATAATTAAAAGTAATAACATTTGATTTGTTCTTCAATCCATCAGAGGAAGTGGTCAACACATTGAAGAACCAGTGAACATGTCTTCATGTTAAATCATGGGAATGGTTTGTGTAATCCGTCACAACTTTGCTCTGGGACCTGAACTGGAGTACATATTCTGCTGCAGGAAAGCTAAGATCTTTTTCCAGGAGTCTTCCTGAGCATCTGAATGGGGTTTGGTTGTTCCTCCCCACAGCAAAATCACTGAAACACACAACGCTGTCTGTGAGATTCACAATTGGAGGATTATAGCAGTTACTTCTAACATCAACACCAGGGTATTCTAAAATAATAATGTATCTTTGCACTCGGAGGAAAATAGCTACACCTTATGTAATTGGCTATTCAAGCCAACCTCTAATGTAATTATTAAATAACAGTTAGCATGTGTCTGCCATGCTATATACAAGTTACAACCAGGGTGTAAATTGCCAATTTGGCTTGTAACGGAGGTGATCTCTGGGGCCATAGATCTTGGCCTCCGTTACGGATTATATAACTTCATTATTGGCGAAGTATATTCATTTGTTCCACCCTAAAACATTGCACAAGAAGCATGTTATGAAGGTAGATATAGTGCAAAATGCAAGAGCGTGAAAACCTGATGTGAGCACTTGCAGAAAAAAAATCTGAGTTTGTGTGCATACATTTACACTTCTTCTTGACCCTCAGAGAAGGAGAAGATGTCGTGTCTTTCATACAATATAACTGATTCTCTTCTGTTGAACATGTTGGATTGTGTATTGTCCGAGTCAGGGTCCTTTTTATTTTACTGTAACTTTGGAAGTTGTGTTACCAATGCTTACTGTTTATTTGATACCCATTTGGTAATGCAATTAATAAAAACAACAAGATTTGGGTTCGTTCTTCAGATGACTGTGACGTTAACGTGTAAGCTCAATAATGAACTCCAGCTCAACCAACCATATTGTAATATCTAAGTAATCATCTTGAAATATGACATTAATAATTGTAATATACACACATCTTATTGTGAGGCTGATTTCACATACACTACTTTGACGTTAGCTAAATAGAAAATAGCATGGATAATTTACAAAGGCTTTAAAAACACAGCAGGAGCCCAAGACAATTATAAAACTTGTCATTATTTCAGTACAGTTCAATTTGTTTTATTTTCATAAACGGTTATCAACCGTTAGTGCCAAAGCAGTAGGCTATAATATATTAATTACTGCTGTAGCTAGCATAAACTCAACAAAGCTAGCGTTAGCTGGCTGGCGGACGTTATTTTGCCGCTAAAATGCACGATATAAAACGGTGGTCTTCAAAACGGATTTAATCCTCAATCACAATAATAATATTCAAAGTAATACTGGGCAAGTAATGGGCAACATTTACCGTTGATTGATGCGCCATGTCAGCGGACTGGTAGCGACACGAACCGTTAGCCACGCAGTCATCCGGTTCGACGTGACTGACTGTGGCTGTGACTGTGTGACTGACCCGAGCCTTGTTGCCCCTCCCTCCCCCCACATCTACAGGTGAAAATTACTTTTGCAACACATTTATCGCAAGAAGTGTAGCAAAAGTCAAGACCGCAGATTCGTCGATTTATACTGCCACAGAGCAGATTCGTCAAGTTGTAATGACTGATTTGAGAGGTTGTAATAAATAAAGTTGCAGTTGTAATGGAAAATATATTTAAAAAATATGTATTTTTCTGCAAGTGAACATTTCATCACTAAGTTCATTTTTTTTCCTACAAGCTACAAAACTTTTTTTTTCTTCTGTGACTTCAAATTTGGTTCACAGTTACGTGGATATTTTATACAAGTGTAAATGTATGCACACAAGCTCAGATTTTTTTTCTGCAAGTGCTCACATCAGGTTTTACACACTCTCGCATTTTGCACCATATCTACCTTCATACATGTGATTATATGTAATGTATGCATCTGTTTGTCGCGATCTGTCTGTGTTTTAGTTTGTCTGTCTCTGTTTCCTGTTTTAGTTTGAAAAGTGTTCCCCCTCCCGTCTTGTCTGTTGCTAGTGATTGTGTTCACCTGGTGCCCTGTGTTGTCTCCTCCCCCCTCACCTGTGTCTTGTTGGTTTGATTGGTCCTGTGTGTATTTAGGCTCTGTTTTCTTGTTAGTCTGTGGCCCTTTCTCATTTCTCTAACTCCCCTCCTCGACTCCTATCCTCGAGACTTAGTCCCGCCCACAGGAGATGCGAGCGGAGGAGCCGAGGAGGGGATCCGAGGAGAGAGGAGGGGAAGCAGCAGGCGGTTAGAGAAATGAGAACTCCTCTCTGAGCGGTCATTTTAAAGAGACGTCCATTAATGATGACAGGAGGCACAGCAGCCTCTGTCTGATGGACAGATGTGTTCATGATGACTTATATATTTACTTTTAATTCATTCACAGTGCGGTATAATGAGACAATAACAGGCTACAGATGCGGGGACACACACACATATATATATATATATATATATAAATATATACAATTTCAGAATCAAACAGAGCACTCATAACGTAACACTATCAGAGACTGGATATATCCCCCCCCCCCTCTCTGGTCGCTACAATGAGGAAAATAAATTACGCAGAGGACACCAAACCAACTGAGACCTGTCTGTCCGCCGCATCTACACACACACTGTACCACACACACCTACACATAATCAGGCTACAGCCGTTGTGTATTTTATTATGTGAAGCACTGAATGGTTTTAGAAAAATATTGACTCTTTGTTTGTAGATATCTACTAAACTAAAGCAAATAAAGAGAGAAGGCCTGTTATACTGAGTGATATATATTTTACATGCTTTCTGCATGGACCTCACAGCTGTTCTCTCTGTAAACATCGCGTCCCGATGAGAGCAGTTAATAAAATAATATCCAGGGGATGCATGCAGAGCTGTCATTGGCTGAGATAAGTCCGGCCGTGCGTCACGACTCTTTGAAACATCTCTGTTGCCGGAAATGCATCCGCGAAGGAGCCGTGGAGGACCGTGGAGGACCCATCAGTGTATCCTCGGTTATAGCTCCTCCATAGAGCCTCCTCGATGCTCGGTCCTCGACGTGCATTTAGAGAAATTAGATGTCATTCAACATGGCGCGCTAAAATTCATTTCCGGGTCACTACCGGAGGACCGAGGAGTCGAGGAGAGGGATTTGATGAAATGAGAAAGGGCCTGGGTGTGTGTGAGGTCCTTGTTGCTGGTCACTGTGTTCAGGGGAGACAGTCATATTGAGGCTGTGTATCCTGTACCACAAAGAGGAATAAATGCCCACACCGGGTTATATTTGAACTCTGCCTCCTTACCTGGCTGCTCAACGGTCAGCTTCACATGACTATATACACACACACACACACACACACACACACACCGTAGTGTTGACTATTTTCACTCAGACGCAAATAGAATTGTGCACTATAGTCAACAAAAATGTTGTTTATTGCTGCAGTGATGTAGCGTTGGATCCTGGGAGTTTGTCATTGAGGCTTTCACTGCCTGTGTATCATGTGGGACCCTGTATAACTCACCTTTCTGTCCATCCTTTAAAAACTTAGTAGCTCTGAAGTGAGGGGAGTAGGGCGGCTCAATCAAATGTCCAGCATCCGGGTATTCGAGTCTCGTCAGCAGGTGCTCGTTTCCTGCTGCACGCATCATCTGTGCCATCTGAGGTCAGATAAAAACATCCAAAATGTAAAGAGAAGGTATGGAAGAAAAAATGTGCACACTGTTCAATATATAACATTACATATTTACAAATGTGTATATGACTTTATATAATTAAAATATATATTTGTGAAGTGCTTCTTAAGGTACTCATAGGTATGTGTGCGTGTGTTCTCACATCCTCAGCAGACTCCACTGTGGGCCAGTTTTGATCATCATCGCCGTTCACCAACAATATCGGACAATTTATTTTCCCAACCTCAAAGAGAATACACAAAGAACAACTTCAAAATGCCTTTTCAGAATAAAGCAAAAGTAATCAATAAAAAAAGCGATAGTAATGAAGGGCACTTTAACTAAAACCCGGAAATGTGTTAGCATTTTAGCCATTTCTGTTCTCTCGTCTCAAACTCAAAGTTTTCTCTTTCGATTAGAGGACTAAAATAAATTCTGCTGTAAATAGAAGCTGAAGAGATTTTAACATTTTGTTTTTACGACATAAAACGTGTCAGTAAATACCCAACACGTTTTCTAAAGCTTCTATGTGTGTTCAAAATAGCGTTTGCTAACAAGTGCCTAAATGAGACTACTAAACGTCATCATGCTTAACATTAGCCACCTTTAGCTCAGCGGTGGTGAAGTCATGTGACCTAGATGTAGTTAGTTTATTGCCTTCAATTAGATCTCTGCTTCTGTAGGTTGCATTAAGGTTTCAACATTTATAAAAGTGTTGTTAATATGTGGAGATTATCTTGCCGAAGCAAAACATGTTAGCCCTTTAGGCGTACGAACATTTTGAAAAATGTGTCATTAATGACTTGGACACCATTTATTTTAGAATTTAGGCCAATAAAAAGCCAGTTTCCAGTTCAACAAGTACTTACGTCCACTTTCTGTGAGATATCATCGGGAATCGGTAGGCCCATACCTCGCCAAATCTCGTAGTTGTTCTCATCCATGCGCACCTTGTGTACGTTCCTGTTATTACAAATAATTGTTCCCATCAGT